ATGGACTGCGTGACTTCAATATTTCCCGTGGAATTTTTGACGAATAAGCCTCTTCTCTATTGATTGCAGCCCTAATAGAAAAGATTACAGTTACAGTTCAGTTACAGTTTTTGCTAGACCAATGAGAAAAGTCTTGAATGTATCATTGTGTTTGAACCAATATGTTGAGTGATTCAGTGACTCACTGATATAGACAGTCACTTTTTTATTTTCAGAATAAATCAACATTTTTTTAACAAATCAGTTGAATGAATGATTCAGTTACTCGTTAATAAAGACAGCCACAGATCAGTTGCTGATCACCATAAAAAAATGCTGTAAATTATGGCCCATGGGTAAATTCTGGAATATCTACCATTGGTGAAATGCAAGCTTAAAATACTTCCTGTTTTTATCCGTGTGGGCACGGCACCAGCTATGCCAACTTCATGAGCTTGATTCCCAGGGACAGCAAAAGCTGAAAAATGGATGTGTACCTTGAATGCAATGTAAGTCTCTTAAGATGAAAAATGTAAACGTCTTTTTGTTTCTAGACTAATTTTGGCCATCTTATATTCAGCAGCCTTTTCATATGTTGCATCAGTGTTTGAATCCATTTTTATGGGGTATAGTCCTAACTGACCATGAGCTGTTGATTTATTATTATTATTTCTCTCATTTTCCCCTAAATTGTTGGCATTGGGTTTATAGTTGGCTTGACTGCAGAGCTCTGTATGTGCACCTCAGACAGTCACAGCCTTTAGCAGGCTGGTAATAAATCAAGGCTGTCTCATCCTCCAGGCACCGAGCCAGAACCCAGACCAATATTTAACTTTCTAATTAAAGAACAACTCTGCAAAAACAGAGGAACTAATTTCTCTCCTTTATTTGAGAAAGCTTGATCCTCTAAGTCTCCCTGGAAATGTTGACAATCCAAATGAAGTTTTAGTCTCTTATATTTAACTGGCTTTTCCAAAAGTCAACATTGTATGGCTATTCATGCAAAAGTAACTCAGGCTTATCCATCTTCATCTCTGGAAAGTCCTGTGTTAATTTGCTTGAGGATTATTATTATTTTTCTTCTATGTGTCATGAAATTGGCCAGTGCCCGATTCGCCAGTGCCAAAAAACGCTACAAAAAACTCTCCCATTTCACCACATCCCAAAGGTGCTCTATTGAGACCTGGTGACTGTGGTGACCATTTGAGTATGGTGAACTCCTTGTCATCCTCAAGAGACCAGTTTGAGATGATTTGAGGTTTGTGACGTGACACATGCTGGAAGTAGACCTCAGAGGATGGTATAGTGTGGTCATAAAGGGATGGACATGGTCAGCAACACTACTCATGTAGGCTGAGACAATTAAACAATGCTCAATTGGTACTAATAGGCCCAAAGTGTGCCAAGAAAAAATCCCTCACACCATCACACCACCACCACCAGCCTGAAGCATTGATACAATTCAAGATGGATCAATGCTTTCAGGTTGTTTACGCCAAATTCTGACCCTACCATCTGAATGTTGCGGCAGAAATCGAGACTCATCAGACCAGGCAACACTTTTCCAATTTTCTGTCATCCGATTTTTCTGAGCCTGTGTGAATTAATTTTCCTGTTCTAGGCTGACAGGAGTGGCACTGGTGTGTCTACTGCTGCTGTAGCTCATCTGCTTCAAGGTTTGACGTGTTCAGAGATGCTCTGTAACGAGAGCTTATTTGATATGCTGTTGCCTTTCTATCAGCTCAAACCAGTCTGGCCATTCTCCTCTATCCTCTGGCATCAATTTTCTCCCACAGAACTGCCTCTCACTGCCCATCCTCTGTAAACCCTAGAGATGGTTGTGCGTGAGTTGATCAGTAGTTTCGGAAATACTCTGACCAGCCCATATGGCACCATCTACCACACCACGTTCAACGCTTTCTTCCCCATTCTTGCTCAGTTTGAACTTCCACAGATCATCTTGACCATGTCTACATGCATGTTGCTGCCATTTGATTGGCTGATTATATATTTGCTAATGAGCAGTTGAACAGGTGTACCTTAGTAGCCATTGAGTGTGTATATGAGGGTGGTGATGGCTTAATGGATAAGACACGTCTTTGGTGTGAGAGACCCGGGTTCGAATCCACTGTGAGACACCAATGTGTCCCTGAGCAAGACACTTAACCCCTAGTTGCTCCAGAGGCGCGCGACCTCTGACATATATAGCAATTGTAAGTCGCTTTGGATAAAAGCTTCAGCTAAATGAATAAATGTAATGTAAATGTACATAGTATTATTATTATTTTGGGAATTGTTTTTACAATTTAATATTTTTAGTACCTTTTGAATTAGTAACTCTGTTGCATACCTGTTTAACTTTTTTATTTAGTTCATCCAGCATTTTTACTTTAAATAACTGTAGGTTTCAGAGACATGCAGGGCCTTGCTGTGCCCTGGGAGCAAAGCTGTTATTGGTATGTCGAGCACTGGCCCATCGTGCCCAGCCCTCGGCACAGGGGATTTGATTGGAAATGGTGTTTTTCCAGCAGGGCAATCATTCAGGTATATGGTTCTTCACTAAACAGACATGGGGCAGAGGAGGAAATACTGGCTTCTGGATGCCGCTGAAGAATTTGTTCACTCTCATACAAACAGTTGTGGCCCATAATCCACGTAAATTACAGATAGGCTCGGTTTTGCTTGACATATGATGGATCATTATGTATTAGTTTTTCAAAGAAACACCAGACGCAAAATCCATACAAAATACTCCCATTAATCTCTCTCTCTCAAACAAAAAAAGCAATTAAATGCATCTTTTCACCAGCAGAAATGTAGTTCGACCATCTCTGAGATGCAGAGAATGTCTTTATTGACATTTCTTTCTTTTTTTAAAGGTAGTATTTGTCACTTCCCTTTCAATGTGCTGAGCAGAGGATGATGTGTCTGCGAGCCTCATATGAGAATTTAATGCATTCTGATGGCGGCTGTGTTGTCGGCCAAGTCAAGCTGAGCCTGTTTTTGTGATTAAACAAAATGAAATTACTGCTAGCAAATGGAAAGCATGATTGATTTTCTCGGCAGATACGGTGTGCGGCTACGCAAAGGCTTGTTTAACTTCATCACAACAAATCCAATAAGGGCTGACACAGTTTCACTCTCTATGGTCCTCAGAGCAGGTCAGGAACTCTTCTGGCTTAAATGTGTCTCCCAGTGGAAATAGAGACAGAGGTTTTCCCACATACAGTACTAGAGGGCTGTTGACAGTAGAATAAAAATACATCTGAATGTAACATGAGTGTGTGCACGTGTGTAAGCCATAATTTAAACATCCTGTCTTCATTTTGCTTGAATGTTACCATTCTAGCTCATACAGGCAACAGAACAGAGATGATTAATTATTCCCCTCTCCTCAGTAATGACTTCCATTACTGCCCACTTGTGATTAATTAGTGACAAGATAGAGTGTGTATGCCACCTCCCTGCCCAACTGATGCACACCCCCTCCACCACTGACTGGCCAGACTGTCTAGTTCTGGTGGACGTCACCCACAGTTAAAGATCACTCACGCTCACATAGACATATATATGCTGTAGTATACCTCATATATATATATATGAAGAGTTCAGATGCAAAAGCCTCTAAATGCCATTTGAAATTTTCTTCTTTAATGATGATTTTTATCAAACTTGTATATTTAAGTTCAGTAATTTCACTTAAATAACAATTAATAGGTAATTATCATTGCCATTTAAGTGAAATTACTGAACTTAAATATACAAGCTTGATAAAAATCATCATTAAAGAAGAAAATTTCAAATGGAATTTAGAGGCTTTTGCATCTGAACTCTTCATATATATATATATATATATATATATATATATATATTTTTTTTATATATTTTATTAGTATTGGCCGATTATTTGTGCAGCAGTGAATCAGATGTCAAAGTCATGGTTTTCATTGACTGGGATTTTTGTCATCTTTGTGTAAGGTTTTCAGGTATAACAAAGTGTTTTGAAGGTCATATATTCTCGAGGCATTCAGCAAAAGGCTTGGATTCCCTTCTGGTTTAAAAATAATAAAACTCTCTGGTTTGATATTTGATATGATTCAAAACTGAAGTGTGGACGGGAGAGGCAGTTATAAGTACTATGGAAAATTCCTACCGACAATTCTACTGAATATAATATACACTACAATTAAAAAGTTTGGGTTCAGTGAGAGATTATACCAGGATGTGTTCTACTGTTTTCAACATTGATAATAATAGGTGTGCAACAGTATGCGTATTTGTATTCGGTAAACGTGTACATATTTAATGTCATTATAATTATAATATGTTTCTGCCCTGTGTTTACAGTTGTAAAAATGAACGTATTTAATTTGATTTGCATTACTATATTTTTTTTACTAAATTTTCACATGGGTGTTCATAAGTTAAACCCTAGTAAATTCATAAATTGCTATTTAAAATGGTAATAACAATTTTTTTTTAAATGTCTCTAAAATGTTCAATTAAAACCTATGCCTTTGAATTAGACTCTTTAATTCTAATTGTAAAATCTACAATAGTTCCACAACGAAATTCAAAGCATGTCTGTGATTGAGCTTCTCTTGAATTTGCCACAGGGAAGCTGCCAAATGTTCTCTCTCTGGCTCCTGAAAATCAGGAAACTGATTTTCCAGCTATTTCTAAACATGAGATAGGAGGAGTTGTTCCCCCTCTGCTGAATCATTTGCTCTTTACAGTTTGAGTGAAATGAATGTGGTTTGTGATTGCATGACTATCGAAACTGTGGCCAAAAAAAAAATGCTTAACAAAAGCAGTGGGTAAACATTAAACAGCAGACAAGATTTCACACGCAGCAAGGACAAGAGAAAAGCGCTGAGGCTGGACAATAAGGACTAGAGGAAGAGAAGTGAGAAGGGAGGTCAGAAATCTATCAGGGCCCCTGGTATTGCTTTGAGGTGAGACCTGAACATCTGAGATGGAGGATTAGTCTGTGACTGACATGTTGTGTGTTATCTGTTCAGTCTCCACACGGGAAAGAACGACCTGCTGACTTTCTACGACGGAGATGACCTGACTGCAAAGATATTGGGCCAGTACGGCGGTTCCCGTCCTCGTTTCAAACTCTACACCTCCATGGCTGATGTGACCATCCAGTTCCAGTCGGACCCTGCTACCAACATCTATGGCTACAACAACGGCTTTGTGGTGCACTTTTTTGGTAATTACTTGTTTAACCCTTTCTATGGCACTTTCTCAGCTTCATACATGTACAGTACATATTCGAAATGTTGGTGTCATTAAGATTTCAGCAAGGGCACATTAAATTGATCATAAGTGACAGTATAAATATTTTTATCTTTTTCAAATAAATGCTGTTCTTTTGAACTTTTTTATTCACCAAAGAAAAAAACAGTCCTCAATATTGATAAGCATCATGTGACACTGAAGACTGGAGTAATGGCTGCTAAAAATTCCGCTTTGTCATCACAGGAATACATTACATTTTAAAATATATTCAAATTATAAATTGTAATAATATTTCACAATTTTTCAGTTTTTTCTATTTAAGCAGAGAGACTTCTTTCAAAAACATTAAAACCCCCTAACTTTTGAATGGTAGTCTCATTAATCTCAAATGTAGTCGGATGAAGCTCATTAGTTATCTGCTTGCTTATGAGATTCATTTGAGATGCCGCAGGGATTGCCAATCTCAATTTGATGGAAAGAGGGAGAGAATGGTTATAGAGCTAGAGCTGCAGCTGGTTTAGCCCTCACCTTTCCTGGGGATAAAGTGAAGGTCATTCTATCAGCTTCTCTCGGTGACCGACTTCTGTGCCACATCAGATAACATTATATTAAGTTCTATTCTGGGGGTGGAGGAATGCAGATGATTCTTCGAGTGGAGTGAAATGGACTGTTTTTTCCATTTCCTTCATGCAGCACATAGGGAAGATTCCTTCGGCAGCTCCTGCAGGTGCAGAGGATTTGGCCCTGCAGATTCGCTAACAATTACAGCGCGTTTGTACTCATTAGCCGCATTTGCCGGGTGCCGTGCCCTCCACAGTTTTGCCAATCTAAGAATGGACATCAGCAAAATGCCTGCCAGCTGTCTTGTGCTGCTCTATTCATATTTTAATCACAGCCAAGCTGATTCCTAGCATTTGATTTATCAGTCATTAGGCACAACACCTGTGGTTTGTTCGGGGACATGGTGAGAAACAAAGAAATTGTTTGCAGGCATTATTGAACACTCTGTTTCCCTCCCTCTCTCCCTCTTGCTCTGCTAATCAATCTAATTGAGTCTAACTTCATAGGAAAGTAAAGTCATGAATGGGAACTCGCTGATTTCTCAGTTGTTTCTTAGAGAAAGGTGAGTGAGAGATTAAATGGAAAGAAATGGAGACCTTTGATTAAAAGGATAGTTCACTCATAAATTAAAATCCTATCATTTTTTCTTGTTGTTCCAAACCTGAATTGTTTTATTCGGTGAAACTCAAATGAAGATTTTTCAAAACGGTTTTTGTCCATATAATGAAAGTAAATTCGTACCAAAAACAACATTGATCTCCAGTCCTGTTCATTGTATAAATAAATGAAAAAAGTTATTTTATGTTCCGTGAAAGAAAAAAGTTTGGAATGACATAAAGGTGACTGAATATGACAGAGTATTAATTTTTGGGTGAGTGATCCCTGAAAGATTAAATTAGATCTCTTAGTCTTCTCTCTTAGAAAACAGTCCGATTAAATGGAGAGTCTTTCCTTTGGGATGAGACTTTAAAACCGAGGTCCTGACTCTTTGTGGTTATTAAAAAAACCCAGGATGCCCTTTGAAGAGTAATCCGACATCCTAGCCAAATTTGCCCATTAGCCTCTGTCCAACATCATCATGGCCTCCTAATCATCTCCATATATGTATATATTCTGATTGGCTTCATCACTCTCTCCACCAATAAGCTGGTGTGTGATGGGCGTTCTGGTACAATATGGCTGCCGTCGCATCATCCTGGTCCAGTTGATGAATTCCTTTCCATATGTTTGAATTCCATACCATATGAATTCCATACCATATTGGTATGACATGAATTCCTTTCCATAACTATTTGAGTGCCGAGAAAAGCGTATTTGTAAATGTAACAATTTGCTCAGTTGCATTTGGTTTGGGAGAATTTGATGAGAAATATTTAAGATCACTTGATAATCTCTGATTTTCATAGCAAACACTGGCATGTTAGCAAATCTAAGAGCATTGATGAGAGCAATTCAGAACATTTTAATCTTCCAAAAAAGAAAATTCTGAAAAATTTTTATTCACCATCATGACATTCTAAACCTGTATGACTTTCTTTCTCCTGTTGAATTCAAAAATTTGTGTTTGTTCAATATTCTGAACATTGAAAGCATTTTGGTGATCACTGTCTTCCATAGTATGGACAAAACAACACCAAGACATTTCTTCAAAAGTCAAAAATTGTCAAATGATCTCAAATATGTCATAAGATTCTCCCAAAACAAGTAATCGGTGTAATGCAAACATTCACTTTATAGCTCTAAACTCTCACAGTGTGTAAGCAGATATCTCATATGATTTTAGGAGAAATATCTGTGGAAAAGTTGATGCATTTGCATTTTTTTGTTCTTTTTGCAGAGGTTCCCCGTAATGACACCTGTCCAGAGCTTCCAGAGATCTCTAACGGCTGGAAGAGCACATCTCACCCTGACCTGGTACACGGCACGGTGGTGACCTATCAGTGTTACCCGGGCTTTGAGGTGGTGGGCACCGAAATGCTCATGTGTCAATGGGACCTGACCTGGAGCGGAGACTTGCCCAGCTGTGAAAGAGGTGAAAAACACACACACACACACACACACACATTCATGATGATAACCACTCTCTAAAATCCATTTTCACCCCATTTCCAAACCAGCACGCACTGCCTATTGATCAAGAGCAATTCTGTGCTCCAAAACTAGATGAGCTTTTGAATTCCATTTGAGGGGGGAATTTCACAAGTGCCTGTTTCGCCTCTGAAACTCGGTCCCATTCAAGGACAGGTGAGGACTGATAGAGGACTTTGTGGGTAATCACTCACTTTTCTTTCAAGGGCGACTTTACGGATGAAGCAGGCGCCATTTCACTTCGCACTCTTGGTGCATCTTCCTCTATGTGCTCACACGTTACGATACCTTTGTGAATGATTTCTGTGATTTGAATTATTTCGTTCTACAGCCTCGCATCAAGTGTTTTAACAAATTTCAAAGCCGGGTAGCTCTGTTGTAACCATGTAAATCTTGTCGCATGGCTATTGTGTAGCTTGGACTCACTGTGTGTGAGTGTGTAATACGTCAGGCTGCCAGGCCGTCCGCAGACTTTCATCGCTTGAAGTATCCACAGACAGGACACACGTATGACCCTGGAGCCGCTGTCCCTCTCAAAAACAGCAGGCCAAAAGCAGCGGGGACCGTTATACGGTTCAAAGCTTCTCACTCGCCACGCAAACATAATTTATTTTACTTCCTCTCCCGTCTCCTCTTCCTGCCCCTCTACTGCTGGGGAGAGAATTGGGTTTGGAACTGGGCAGGCTGGAGCGAAGTCATTTTTTTTTTATACAGCACTGTGTGTCCGTACACTGCCCTGAGATCAAAGTCACATGCTCCTCTTGCCTCACAGTCTGGGTGAGATGAGCGGTGGCCCCTGGCACTCTGATTGGATGTGGAACCACATGTATGAAAACATACTGGTTCAATGTACTTTGAGTTTGAATGGACCATATATAACTTTGGATAAACTTTGTCTGCTAAATGCAGAAATGTAATGTAAAAAAGCAGCAGCAAAAGATGTGGAAACTGCAAGAATAACTAAATAAAATTAATTATTTATTATAATCCAAAAGCATTGTTTGCTCAACTAATTTTTGAAATTAAGTCATTGGTGCCACCCTCAGGTGGAAGTGAGAACTACAATACAAATCAACTAATTTGTTGACTAACTTTGAATGGCTAACATACTGAAAGGGACCCCTAGTGCAAATACATTATAGTGCCATGTTAATGTATTTACATGTTTTATTATGAAACTTGCATTGCAAAGCCATTCAAATAGTCTTTTTCGTGTAGACTACTGTTCAGAAGTTTAGGGTCCAGAACAATTTTTTAAGTTATTATTTTTATTTAAATAAAAAATTTATATTTATTATTTTTATTTATTTTATTTTATAGCAAATATGCATTAAATCAATCAAAAGTGACAGTAAAGAATTTTCAGGGGAAAAAAAACAATCTAATAAATGCTGTTCTTCTGAACTTTGTAAGAATCCTACAAATTCAGCTTTGCCATCACAGGAATAAATTAAATTTTGAAATGTATTCAAATACAAAAGTGTTATTTTAAATTGTGAAAATATTTCACAATATTACTGTTTTTACTGCATTTTTACTGTAAATAAATGCAGCCTTAGTGTGCATAAGATACCTAGGGCTTTACCATATCAAATGCACAGTAGAGACTTGTGCACCTGAGATGAATTTAATATTGTTTCAACTCTTTTCTGTACCAGTCCTGTCATGCCCAGACCCAGGGTCAGTGGAGCACAGTCGCAGGGTGATGTCCGGCCCGCGTCTCATCGTAGGCTCGACTGTCCAGTATATCTGTAACAAAGGCTACTCATTGTCAGGAAACAGCCTCCTCTCCTGCTACCATCGTGACTCCACCGGCCCCAAATGGAGCGAGAAACTGCCCAAATGCGTTCGTGAGTGCCTGATTTTATTCTCAAATAATCTCATATATACACCTAAAGATGCACACACATAGTGGTTGTTAACTGTATAATAATACAATTTAATCAACTTGCAATTAAGTCTGTACAGTTTGAAGAAGTCACATTTGTGAATGTGTGTGTATGTGTTTTTGTGTTATATAGCTGAATCGTATGAGCCGTGTAGGAACCCCGGCACTCCACCCTATACCATTCAGAGCTCCGAGAAGCGTGCGTATCAGGCTGGGGAAACTCTGCGCTTCTCCTGCATGAGTGGGTATGAGCTCCAGGGTGAGCCTGTTCTCCGATGTGTCCCCGGGCACCCTTCCAAATGGAGTCATCCACCCCCACTGTGCAAAGGTAGTCCTTGTGTTTTGCAATGTTCATGGTGTGTGATCTGCATACTATAATATTCAAGGTCTCTTTCCTGTCTGCAGTGGATGTTAATTTATTGATATGTTGTTTCTCTTCAGGGAAGGGAGTGTTTGTTTTGAATAATTGGTATGACATGCAACATTTTCTTGTTTTGTTAAAAGCTCTCACTTTTCTCCCAGCGGTAACACAGGAGTACATAGATGAACGTAGGCTGGATGGTAAGAACTTTTGCATCTTAGAAATGCACATGGATTTGTAATCACAGCTATCCATCTCAACTTATTTTATGTGTTTGCTATACTTTGTCCCCTACTAGTGGCCAGTGCAGATTTCAGCATGGAGGGAGCCAGTGTGGCTGTTTCCATTTTCATACCAGTGGCTGTAATCATAATCATCATCATGTCGATATATTTCTACTTTTCAAGGTAAGTGGTCCCAAAAACTTTTTGTACACTTATTCTACACTTAAACATGTATACATTACCGTTCAAAAGTTGGGTTCAGGACGATTCAATCGATCAAAAGTGACAGTAAATATGTTTAAAAAAAATGTAATCTAATTATTTATTTATTAATTTATTTTTTTGAAAATAGTTATTTTAAATAGTAATATTATCTCAACACTTTTACTGTATATTTGATCAAATAAATGCAGCCTTGCTGAGCATAAGAAACATTAAAAAAATCTTGATCTGAGGTCTTTATTCTCCCACAATTCTGAACAAACAAATTAAACAAACACTAATTTACAGGTTCTGACAAAATGTTAATTCCTGCTGTCTATTTAATGACAATGATTCGCCTGTATCTATTAAACATTTGACAAGTACGATCGTACTGAATATTCAGATCTGCATTGCCGCTGTCGCTGAGCCAGAGAGAGCAGTTGTCATGTATGGAGCAGCTTCACAAACAGTCTTTTCAACCACACAGTATTGTTATTTTTGTTACAGTAATTTAAATGTTAAATTAATATGAATTATTAAAAAAAGAGAACTAATCATGAATGATTAAATGACTCGCGCATAAATACTCATTACTGGATGAATCAACATTATAGCTGTCAACATTGAACATTGAAAATAAGGGAGATTTCCCAGAATCCATCCCCCAAATAAGGGATTTTTTTTAGCCTCAAACTTTAAAAATAAAGCACTAATCATTAAAAGTCTAAAGAGTTTATACAGTAACTAGCCTACATATGTGTGAGAGAGAAAGAGACAGTGTGTCATTTAAAAAAAAAAATCATAGAGGATGTTTAAATACTAATATTAGCTTACGATGGAAACGGAGGCGGAGTTAGTGGTGCTTCTGCGGGAGATGATTGGGAGAGGTTTGTCTGTGCACCTTTACCGATCAGAGCGCACGCTGACATTGAGTAAAGCCTTTATACTCGACACATCCGCATGAGCGCGGCAAAAATTACAAGTTGGCTGAGCAAGACTGGTGTTGTGCCGAATTTCGACCCCTGCCAAATTATTACCCCCCTAGCATTGGTAGGTTTAGGATTCGTTGTGGGGGAGGGGTAGGATTAGGGGTGGGATCGGGATTAGGCAATCAGGTACTGACTTCAACAAGGGGGGTAATAATTTGGCAGGGGTCGAAATTGGCTGTGCACAGCTTTTTTGTAACAGCGTGCGCGGCGCCGCATCCTAGGATATACGACTTCAAGCCGAATCTGTCCGAGCTTGTACGTCTCACACAATCAGAGCGTAAAAATACGGAATATTTTACGGGAAAATACTAAATCGGGAAGATAGCGGGAAAAAAGCTAAAATATGTGAGAAACCCGGAAAAAACGGGAGGGTTGACAACTATTGAACCTCTTGAATGAATAAGTCAATGACAAACGCAGTTTTTCAAGTCACTTGTTGCCACCTACTGGTGTAACAATGTAATTGATACAATCTTTGCTTGAAGTCATTGCTTTTAAAAGGTGAAAAAATGTACTCGTATTTTGATCACTACTGTCAAGATCAGTGTTTCTATCCAAACTATAAACTTTTGTCCCAGTACTTCTGTGATCATTTTAATTATTGTAACAGTGTGGTTTAATTATCATAATACTGTGTGGTTTAAAACGTTTGTGAAGCTGTTCCATACAGGACAACTGCTTTCTCTTACTCAGCGACAGCGACAATGCAGATCTGAATCAAAGTTTCACTACGATCGTACACTACGTCAAATGTTTGATAGATACAGGTGAATCATTGTAATTTAGGAGTAAAATCATGTTGGTGTTTGAATTGATATCATGATCTTTTAACGATTACCTCATGGTTTGACATTTTATTATGTAATAATTGCAATAAAATGTTTTATTGTTTAGTTCAAATCTCTCTCTCCTCTGGTTTAGGCCAGTGCAAGGCATATTAATAGTTGATGTTTGTTTGTTTCAGGGTGCAGGGGAAGTCTCTACGATTGTCCATGTCCACATCACCACAATATGATCACATCAGAGGAGAGTCAGCTTTTGAAAACCCCACTTACGAAACTGCAGTAAGTAAAGCATGTGCTCACCAAAAGGCTACATCAGCAACCTCCTTGCAACCTATCACTTGTAATAGCATATTACCCATCGCAACCATTTGTAGTGATATTTCAATGTAGACTGTGGGGTACTCATGTGTTCAGTCTTACAGGTGCACATCTGCACTTTGAACACCATCTGTGTTGCCATATTGTGGGTTCATTTCTGTAATCTAATTAGCTGTAAAGTGGCATTCTGGAGTTGAAATGAAGTGGCACAAAAAGCCACGCCCTCATCATCTCATCATTAACGATCTTACGGATTCGCAAAATTATCAGTGGGGCAGAACACCAAAAAGGAAGTGACACATTTAACCTCATTATTGCAGAGTCTGTTGGCCTATCACAACCTCCTCTGCTTCACCTGCTCTCATTGTTCAATATTCACATTCAGCTCAAAGAGATAGTTCACCTACAAATTAAAATTCTGTCATCATTTACTCCCCTTCATGTCGCTACAAACCTTTCTTCCATGTAGCACAAAAGGGAGAAATTTCGCACAGTGCAGCAAGTGGATGGGGACAAATGCTTGTTTCCAAAAGTGATTGTGAAAGTATCATAATGGTCAAATGGCCTTATAAAACTAGTTCACATAACTTTGTAATTACTAGATTTAAGTGACAAACAAACCAAAATTAATTTTGTTAGTCAGTGAACAGTTTGGGGATGTGTCAGTGAACAGTGTTGTGTTGTACACTACTGGGCCACCATACATTTCTAAAGCCAAAGATATACTTCATAACTGAGCATAAATAAAAATACATAGAAAATGATATCCAGTAATCAGATTACTGGAAAAATCAGGTAATTTTAGGAAGGTGCCTTTTCAAGCAGTTTTGATTTATAGCTCTATCACGATGTGCGCATTTGTGAGCATTAGAGACATTTTAAAATCATTGTAAAATATTATCAGCCCCAAACTTTTAAACCTTATATACAAGCATGTGCTTGTATGTTGCACCAGGTTTGCACTGTGTGAACAAGAAAGTCACACAGGTTTAGAATGACATGAAAGTGAGTAAATGGTGACAGAATCATTATTTTTGGGTGGTGAACTATCATTTTCATGCTGTGAAAAATAAATCAGACACTTTTTGACCTACATAAACTTGCTCGATCACTTACATTTGCACTTTCTCTTCTCTCTCTGCATCTGCATCCCTGAAGAACAATGAGGTGAGAATTTGACTGTCAATACTTTTACACTGATATATGGACCTAGCCTGGGAAAACCCAGAAAACTTCCGGCAAATTTAGATTTGCTCTGCAAGTTAGTCTGGCAAAGACATAGACAGTAAAAGAAATGGACACAGCGACCCCATAGACTTCAACGGAGAAAAGTGAAGTCAATTAGAAGCACTCAATTAGAGGCTCAAACTGAGCTTGACGACGTAGATGTGATGTGAGAAACCTGTCTGACAGTTGTAAGTCTTCTTGTAGCTGTGCCAAGAGGAATCTGAATAATTCCCTTCCAAATCTTGCCGAGACAGTGATCGTGAGTATTAGTTGTCCATGAGCTCGCAGCAGGAGCAACTTTATGAGCAACTCTCTATGGGCTTCTCCCTTGACTTTATACATTCACGTCCCCCTGATTGTGCGTGAGCTTCTACTTCTGTCAATATGGTAATTTCTCTAGTGTGCGACAGAGAGTCGCGTGTTATGATGCAATTCTTAGCCTGTTTTTACAAAAACGGCTTCTACAGGGCCATAACGGGCCATACAAGGTAATTGAGCCTTTTATACATTATATCTTTAGAAATAAACAATGGACAAATGAAGCCTTTAAACGCCTCAGATGTAAAGTTATTCGCTGTCAAAGTGACACAAAAATGAATGGGAGTCAATGGAAAGGCTTGTTAGCCAATGGCGGTCCCCGGGGAGACTTCAGTTTCTGGCTAATGGATTACCCCCTTGGGCAAAGAGCTCATTCAAGCCCATTTTTAATCCTTCGAAATCACGGCATCTATCAGAAATTTTGGGGTGGGCTTTACATGATGACGACAGCACAGCGGCGGTGAAGCAGATTTTGTACATTTACAAACATGGATGCCGCCGTGGAACTAGGGGTGTGACGGTTATAGTTAAACACCGTCATTAGAACGCTATAACCGCCAAAACCATGTTATAAAAATATTTTTTTACTAACTTTTTTTATCTTAGAGAATATATCAGCTTATGAGGCAAAGGAGGCGGAGCCATCTCCAGCAGTAGCAGCCTCAGAAGCACCAGCTTGTTTATACTTGATGCGTCGGCATGAGTGTGAAGGTGCGCACGGCAAAAATTACGCGTCCGGTGTGCAAGACCCCATTTCGCTTGGCTGTTTGCACGGCCTCTTTTGTAACCGCGTCCAAAGATGATCGACTTCAAGCCGAATCTACCCGAGCATGTACGTCTCACCGCACCGACACCCAGTTTATGCGACACAAAGTTCATTGTTAAGGTTTTGTTTACTGTGTGTGATTTCTTTAATGGAAAGCACATTCACTTCTAGTTGTCTTGCTGTTCATTTTAAATAAATGTAGAGCAAGTAACTAATCAGGGTCTGCTCGTTTATTCAAGTTGTTCTATAACAGACGACCGTCGCTCTGTATGTGTCATCTCTAATATGGACCTTTTCCAAGATTTCCAAGCAGACTCAACTCAAGTTCCAAGATGTCAGCGCCATATCGGGATAGTATACTGGTGGCTTCACTTCTCACCAATTGAAGAGAGCGAAGGGGCGTTGTCCATCTTTTTTTACAGTCTATGGTAGCATGAGTTACAGACTGTAGGTTATTCACACCTCTTATTATGCTGTGCAAGTGTCCCTCCAGATCTCTGTCTGTATGATGCAGCACTCATAACACAGTCCCAGCAGCACTGCCTGCATATACTAAACCGCTCAATAACAGTTTCTGGCCCCCAGGGCCACGTCTGCGTTTGACTGTATGTAAGTGTTGTGGCTGGACGGATATGTGTGTGTGTGTGTGCTGGTTCGTGTTCTTGCATTATACGTGTCAGGAAGCAAAGATGATGCCAACAGGGGATCACAAGCAACTCTCTTGAGTATGAAGAGACATGACTGTCAAATGACAAGTCTGGCTTTACTTAAAGGATTAGTTCACCTAAAAATTAAAATTTCCTGATAATTTACTCACCCTAATACCATCCAAGATGTTCATGTCTTTCTTTCTTCAGTGAAAAAAAAAAAAATGTTTTCGAGGAAAACATTTCAGGACGTTTCTCCACACAATGGACTTCAACGGTAAACAAATGTTTGAAATCCAAATCAATGCAATTTCACTGAAGACTGAATTAATTTGGACTCCAACAATTAGGTTACCGTTGAAGTCCATTGTGTGGAGAAAAGTCCTGAAATGTTTTCCTCAAAAAAACTTAATTTCTTTTCCTCTGAAGAAAGAAAGACATGCCTTTTGCTTTCCCTGAGAATCAAACCCAGTAACTTGGCATTGCAAGCACCAATGCTCTACTGTTTGAGCTACAGGAAAACTGGATGACATTGGGGTAAGTAAATCATCAGGAAATTTTCATTTTGAGGGGAACTGTGTTTACAAAAAGTAGAGCCAGTTAGTATTGTGTTTTGAAGTTTTTATTTCATATGCGTTATTGACTTGTATATAAGTCAATAAACATCTAAAGGCTTTTTAATACTCTTGACTATTGTTACTGTTCATTTGTTAGACAACATCTTCCTAAATCACACATTGCCCAATAGTTTTTCCTGCAACTTCCATCATGCTTCCATTACTGATTATTATTTTTAAGTCCTTTTCATGCTTAAGTTGCATGGTATTTTTGATTTGTACAGAGACCTATGATTCAAAGCAGCCACCAGAGGTACTCTCTAGGATTCTGTTGTAAAGAAAGAGCCTGTAAGGAGAGTTGATGAAGGGAATAGCATCACATGGACGAGGATGAGAAGGTTGGAACCACTGGTGTAGGGCGTCTCCATCTTTAGCATCTCTTTCATGTTGTGTTTGCAGCCAGCATTTGGTTTTACATATTCCCACCCCTCACAAAATGAAATGAGATATATATATATATATATGTGTGTGTGTGTGTGTGTGTGTGTGTGTGTGTGTATATACTCGAATATTTATATTATATTTGATGTGTTTGCTTGTTTGGTCTACAGGACACGAGAGAATACGAAGTTTCCATTTAAATAAAACAAAGCTTGTTTTAGCATGGAGGACAGCAAGCCTTTCTCTGCCTTGTGGAAGATCTTCTCAGTTCCTCTCACATCTTGTGTAGCCAACTCTGCTCTTATCCTCACCTGGACCTACCTTCTCGTCTTTTCTCATCTGCTGTAAATATCACCTTGCTTCTGAGGACTTCCACAAGCGAAGAGTGTGGACAACATGATATTATTTTTGTAGAGCTTCAATAGCATTGTCCTGGCAGAATTGCTTGTACAGTTTCTACCCGTAATTGAGCCAAATCAAATGAATTAATGAATTCAAAAGAATGACTGACAATAGGGGGGACCATGTTATTTAGGTGACTGATGTCTCTCTTAACAGATTTATTTATTTAAGTTGCACTTTTCCACTCAGAACCCCCCCCCCCCCCCCAAAAAAAAAAAATACATGTAATTACGATATTAAAGAAAATCACAAGTACGAGAAATAGTTGTGAAATATAGTAAATACTGATAGAAATTAACATTGGAATATAAAGTAATTGCACAATAAACAGTTGCAACTATGAAAAAAGACGCAATTGCCTTCCATAGTTCAATAGTTTGGGGTCGATACGATTTATTTTTTGATTGAGCTTAAGAAATGCCTTATGCTCACCAGGGCTGAATTTATTTTATGAAATGTACTGTAAAAACTGTAATACTGTGAAATATTAGTACAAGTTTAATTTATTTTAATATATTTATAAATATATAATTTATTCTTAAGATGGCAGATCTGAATTTTCAGCATCATTATTCCAGTCTTCAGTGTCACATAATCCAGAAATCATTGGAATATGCTGATTTGCTGTTCAAGAAACATTTCTGATTATTATCAATGTTGTATCAAAGTGTTTACTAACACTTTTTAAACCAATCAAATTAATCCTTACAGAATAAAAGTATTAATTGCTTCTTCTTTTGTTTTGTTTTTTAATCTTACCGACTCCAAACTTTTGATTGGTAGTAGTATCTGGAGATCTTATCCATTTCAAATATAAATATAATCCTGGGGGGACACTTTGAAACAATTGTGTAACACTGCAATTATTGAACAATTAAACCTATGCATGGTTTACAGTTAAATCTTTTTTTTTTTTTTTAAATATTTATTTTCATTTTCAACTACCTTCAAATAACATCTGGCAGTTTTATAAAGTGTAGTGGTTTGCATGGAAACTGGTACATCTGTATCCAGTGATGTGAAGTGGATTTCATTGGGGTGGTCTTAAGCATTTACGCTAACCTTAATTATGACTCGCCTGTGTGTACAATGTCAAACAAAAGCCTGCTGTTGAAGTGCTCTCTTGCGCTAAATTTCAGCTTTGGCTGAGTAAGCCAAAAGTAAAAATCTATGTACAGGAAGTTCTTGTAAATCATCCCTCCTTTACTGATCAATTGGCTCTGATTTTTTGATTTACGTTTATTTTTGTATGTTTTTATACATATGGATCAAAATAACAATTGACTGTACTCTTTCAGCAGGCACACTTAGTATATAAATATCTAAGAATGTACATACAATTTGTATTAGATATGGCTTAAATGTATGTATATATGAGGTTTATCTATTATAGAATAGATCTTTGTTCATCATTTCACAATTATATGGATCATTTAAAAGAGTTATGTACTTGGTCTCCATTTGAATGTTGTCCGTATTGAAAGAAATATTGTCATTTCACTGTAATTAGCAAAAGCTGCCAAAAACATCACAACTGGTCACATGACAGACTTGCATTGTGTGTGAACATTTCAGTGTTTCACTGTCTCCAATTGAACAACAGTGTTTTGGGAACATAAGAAACAACATTTAATGGAATTCAAGGAACTCAAGTGCATTTTTCAATATGAAAATATTAAATGCATTACATTCATATTTATTTATTACCCAAAGCAACTTATGAGTGAGGAAGAACATGAGCAGGTCAGTAATATGCGAAGTGCTGTACAAGATCTGAACTGAAAATCTGGAAGAATAATTTGTTTTTAATGTATTTATTTTTAGTGCTTTGCAGGAATTTAGTCAAGCACTCACGGAAGAAATCTTAAGATGCTTCTTGATAGCTGCAAGAAACTTGGCTGTTTGGGATTATCTTGATTCAAAATATATTTTTACTTGATTGCACTGTACTGTAATTATTTACACTGTACACAACATTGTCGGAGCATATCATCAATTAAAAAATTACATTACATTGGATTGGGCTGTTTTATTCGTTCTTCACGAACTATTTTTACCCATTCTTGGGCATTATTTCCTTTTGTTTATGATATTTCCTTTGTGCTTGACAGAAAACATGCCCTGCAGGCTGAGAGTTATTCTGTTGTTCTGCTGGCTAACGCTAGGAGGAGCCCTTCCTCTCTTCCTCTCAGTACGCATGCGCAGACTTCATTCCAACCCCGCTTGAGTCGAGTCAGAGAGGGCAGCGCCAGCCAGTTAGCAAATAGCTACTAGCAATGGCTTTTCATAACAACACCTCTGCTCTTCCCTGCTGTCATCTGGACGCCACCCGCGAGTGTTTCTGCACATAAGGACGTAACCGCCGACAACCAATCCAGCAGGCTTGCTTTTCAAAAGAGAGCACTTTTCTAGTCAGTATGCGATGGGGACAGACAGCTGTGGATTTCTACACGCATCTTTGCAGGCGGCTGCTGCTGAAGCAGAGGATGCTGCTAGGCTAGCGAGCTAGGCCTTTACATCCCACATGAAACCTTCAATACTGCACCAGACAGCAACATTTCATTCAAAATATGAACGATATTTGCTCTTAGACGAGAGTTCGAGCGATTCATCAGCTCTCGTTTAGCACCAGACCTCCTGCGACCTGTGTGCTTTTGTTTGTTGATAACGTTAGCCGCTAGCTAGCCGAACATCGGAGCAGCCAATCCGCTATCTTGTTAGATTATCGACCAGTGACCAGTTTAATTTCTCCAGGACGGCTTAAGGACAGCAGATAAACCCAACTGCATTTGGAGAAAGCGAGAACTGTTGTCGGGTTGTGTGTTCATGCTACCTTTCAGCTGTGTGAATGTGGGACAAAATGGAGACCCCGAAGATTCTGTACGATTTGGACACGTCTGGGGGCCTAATGGAGGTAAGCCTGTCTGCCCTTCAGCGGTGCCACAAATCACTGCCTTATGCGAGTTATAATACAGGCATATGGATTAAATGAATCCGAATGACAGTAAGTTACAGAATGGACTTGAGTCGCTTTGGTGAGTTTATGTAGAGCTGGGCCTGTTGCAGAAACGTGAACACAACTTGGTTATACAGCAACCGAACAGTTTTCATTAGTGAGGTCACGTGACCAGGTCTGATTTGACATGGAAAAAAGTTTAATGACCTACTCGTAGTTGAACGCAGTGGTCCAGGACTGCACACACTCTGGAGGTTTCAATAAAAAAAAAAAAAACTAACACCAGGTTTTACTCCAAAATCTGCAGTCAGATTGGGATGATATCCAAAACCTTTCACTGGTAAGGTTGGAAACACCTGTTTAATGTGTGAACAGACTTTCTCTCCACTGATGTCTGTCACTTAAAACATTTCAGGAGATCATGCATGCTTCAATTATATTTGCCAATCTGTTCCAGCAAATTCAACAGCTGCTCGCACCTCCACGCTCCGAGGATGGAGAGAAGAGACGCAAACCAGAGAGGGAGACCAGAAGAGGAGGCCGAGCCACAAACCATGACACCTGTGACAGCTGCCGTGAGGGAGGAGATCTGCTCTGCTGCGATCACTGTCCGGCTGCCTTTCACCTGCAGTGCTGGTATGTTTGCAATGGGATTTCATAGAGTGTTAGGGATAAACGATGAGAGTGTGTTTATGTACATGTCTGTTTTCACTGCTGATTTTTAAATCTCACAAAGTTATTTGTCTGGTTGGCTGATTTGGATTTTAGAGGGTGACTTGTAAGGGATGGTTTGCACTTGCATATATACCATACTGTTCTAGTAAAAGACAGTGTTTATGAATTTAGAGTGGTCAACTATTCATTAAATGAAAAAAATAAATAAACACGACCGTTCTAAAGTTCGAGGATTTTTATAAAAACAGCAATATTGTGAAATGTTAGTTTCTACTAACTTGCAAAATAGGTGTAATTTATTCCTGTGATTGCAAAGCAGATTTTTCAGCATCATTACTCTAGTCTTTAGTGTCACGTCATCCTGAATTGGTGCTGTACTGTATTTGTTGTAGTAGTTGCATGCACGTTTTTTATATTAATTTCTTTGAAAAGACTGTATCAGTATCAGAAACTGGAGTCAGTTTGGCAGTTCAGCATATGTTCAGCCTGCCGAAGCTTATCGCTGTAGCATAATCGCAGTAGATTGCATGACTACTAACTTTACATATTGTTTATGCACATCACCACTTCCTCTTCCAAATAAGGGCATTTAGAAGTCTTTTGTTCACTGACAGCCTGAGCTTGAGCTAAAGTATTAATGCACATTTAGCCTAAGAACGAGAAAGTTATTGATGCCTACAGGTGATCTACATCTCATGTGTAAGATTACAATTCCCACGTTCTGAAGTCTTAATTTCTTATCATGTAAGTTTTGTTTGAAGGGAGTCACCCCTGCCTTGTTTTATTTGAAAGCCATCTAATAATTGTCTTTCTGCCATGTCCTGTTAAGCGAACGCTTAGTTTTTACTGCTATCACTGAGGGGAAGTAAATGTATTATTCAACAACTCTGTCCTGATTTGTGTGGTTGTTTCACATTTATTCGATCCAGTCTTTCTCTTAGCTGACGTAACATAAAACTGGTGTACTGTATGTCAAAGAGAGGAGAAAAAAACAATTGTATTGACATAGTTGTGGCATGTCGGTAACATTGCATCATTTGTGCCATATTCAGGCTGTTTTAACCTGTAGATTAGTTTCAGTGTGATGTGGTTTTCTTTGCATCTAGCACAGTGAATATAACCTGTGAACTGTCACTATATTTTTCATACAGAAATTCAGCTTTTTTTATTACCGCATAGAGTTTACAGACATTTTTACATGTCTTAAAAGCAGTATTGTGGTTTTCAACACATCAAGATTTGTGAAAGAATTGTTTTTTTTTTTCAGTAATCCGCCTTTGAGCAGAGAGATGCTGCCCCCTGGTGACTGGATGTGTCATCGCTGCAGTGTGCGCAAGAAGGTTGGTGCAGTCATATTTGCCCTTGCTTTGTCTAAAATTATCAAAAATGGTCTTCGGTGGTGGCGGACGAACAGAGGCATCTACACACCGTACAAAGTACCTTAGGCACGTGAACTGTGAGCCCAGTACTGACAATAATTCCAAAATGAATGCCAAGGTGCAGTTTATAATAACTTATCCTATTGATTCCCATTACATTTATATGTAAAAAGTCACAGCCCATTGAAAAAAAAAG